CACACACCCCACCCCACCCCACACACACCTGAACACTTCATACTTAACCCAAATCCTAGGGGGCCTTAAAGCTGAACTCCAGACAGACACAGAAGACACACATTATTGCAGCTCTATCCATGAATACATCCTTAAATGTATAAATGTATTTTTCTTACATGCAAGGAAAGGAGCTTATGCCAAACGGTATCATTACTCAGGTGTGCCTAGAGCAGCATGATGTCTAAATGGAGCCCTGTGTGAATTATATAAATGACTACAACTTAACACTCTATTAGCAGATAAGCCATTACAAAATGAGATGGACAGCAATGCATACCCAGGACGTTCATCCCATCTTTGAATTCCTGCTTCTTTTTGATTTCCTCTATCGTCGTTGTCAAAGTGTCATTCAAAGTGTCGTTCATCACGGCCAAAAAGGAGTCTGTGGCGTTGACCACTTCCTCTATAGGATTTTCCACTATAACCTTCTTGGTCACTGTCTGAGTCTGTAAAGCAGAAAAGAAGGTATTCATTTTTTTTTTAAATGATGACTATATTAAAGTGTCTGTGAAGGTTCTCATTCATCCGGGTCATGGTATATCTGTAAAAAATAAGTCAAGGCAACTGGACTTGCTGTATTTTTCTTGAAGATGTTTCACTGGTCATCCAACCAGCTTTCTCAATTCAGAAATTTCTGAATTGAGAAAGCTGGTTGGATGACCAGTGAAACATCTTCAAGAAAAATACAGCAAGTCCAGTTGCCTTGACTTATTTTTTACAGATATACTATATGAAAGTGTACCTGTCATATGTAGTGTATGTCCAGTTTGGTCAGCCAGGCCATAATTGCTCTAGGCATTAGGAATAATTAATTGGTGGTTATGTAAACATGTATTCTTGATATGGCTGATACAAAAAGCTTACTTTCTATACAAGAAATATGCTGGAAAATATGTCCTCACTATCATCTCCCTTGATACGTCCTTGTTTGCAGAATGGAGTAGCCAGAAGGCCAGTATTGTGTTTCTCTCACTCCATCTTGTAAAGAATCTGCTAATGCTAATTAAAAAGCTAAGAAGCATTTTTCTAACTGGCTATCCTTGCAAAACAGATCAAGGTTGGTTGTTCAAGTAATTATTCAGAAAACTAGAATTTTCCCTTTAATTTGAAGAGCATTTCCAGGCAACACATGCCATGCTCCTCTATACAGGGCCAATAGAAATGTACTTCCTGAAGCTTGTGCTTTGTAACTTCCTTCTCTCTGCTTCCTGCATCAGCAGTAACATTTAAACAGCAGGTTTGAATGTGATTGGTGGCTATAATAAATTTCTTACAAAGGGCATTTTTTTTACAGGAGCTTTTTGTGTGTGTGAGAGACAACAAGAAGGGTGTTCCAGCATCACCAGCAGCTGTGCTTCAGGATCACCACCAGACAAAGGCAACTGGGAAGTACTGGGACGGCACACAGACGTCTGGATGAAAGATTTAACTAATTTAACTACTCAACATGTAGATTATGCTCCCTGAAAAGCTCTCAAGGGTTAACTTTTACTTTAGCTGGAGTATATCCATAAAAAGACATTCAACCAAACCCCCTGTTTGGTTGGAGACCCTGTGTGTACTAACATAGACAGGCACCCACATTCCATAACTTCCACTCACCAGTAGGACTATTGTTTGAAGAGTTGGCAGAATCTCTGTGCTAAGCTAACAAGGGTTCTACAGAAAAGTGGATCTATATTACTAAGCATAAAGGGTTCCAAGTAGACCTCTGAGGGGTTTCCAGCTTTCTTGAAAATCCCCCATGAACTCTGTGTTCTATCACACTATAAGTATAACTACATTGTTAAATAGGAGACAAAGCTGCTGAAATGTACTGTTTTTAGGACTTCATGGATCAGTATAAAAGGTAGGGTTGCCACCTGTCCAGGATTCACCCGAACAGTTCGGGTTTTGAATGCTGTGTCCAGGTTTCATGGCAGCAGAAACCTGGACAAAAGATGTCAGGCAGACAGGGGCAACCAAAATTAAGATAAGGGCTACTGGCCCCCCACTGAAAATAGTCTTGAATGTGATATTTACATATGAATGGGCAGCACTATTTACATATGAATAAGTCACGACTCATTCTCCCAAGAAAATGTCCAGGCGTCGCTTGAGTGTTCGGGTTTCGCTAGAACAAAAGGTGGCAACCCTAATAAAAGGTGAGTTTAGTTACCTGCTGGAAACAAGCTTGCACCAAGTTGTCAGGGAAGAGGTTCCTTATGAGATCCAAGAAGGCGTCTAAGCTGGACACCTCATCATTTTCTTGGCCCTTCCCAAGCTGCTGTTTTAGTTTGGGGTCTCCAGGATGAATAGCCAAGACCAAAATTACTCCCAGCACAGCAGCGATAATGGTGGTAGACATATAATACACCATTGCTCTGGTTCCGAGGCGTCCACTTGATTTGGCATCCAACCCAGCCAGGCCTGCGAGATAGAGAGAAGAATGTTACATTAATATTTCTAACTCTGATATGGTGATGTTATATACTGAGAGGGGAATTTATCAAAACTGGATCATGCAAAATCTGGAGCAGCTGTGCATGGCAAACTTTCATTTTCAAATCTTCACTGACCAAACTGAAGAGAGAAGCTGATTGGCTGACATGCAAAGCTGCTCCAGATTTTGTCTGCTCCAGTTTTGATAAATTCTCCTCTGTATTTTTCCCAACCTAAATAGCTGTATTTTTTAAAGACCAATTCCAGTTCAGTTTTAGACTTTACCATCTCGGTTGAATCACTCCCTGGCATCTAAAGATGGCCACACAAGTGACAACACACACTATGCCATCAAATCCTAAAGTCGCCTTTAGATTTACTGACAAATATTAGATATACCAAATATTACATTTACTAACAAAATAACCATTTGAACCTTCATATGAAAAAAAAAGATATTATTTGTTCCAAAAGTTGGCACACGTGTCCTGTGCAAGATATAAGTGGGATCCCTGAGCTTCAGTCCTGTAGATACTACTCTAGAGGAACTGATCACTGGAAGCTGTGCCCAGAAAAAGGCAGACAGAGGGCTATGGACTGGTCATCAGTATTGGAAGTGGGCTCACTGTAGCTGATCTTTTTCCCATTACTGTCTTACGATGCCCTTTTCTGTACTGTGCCTCTGTGTGGAGGCGACCATCTTGGTAGAGTCGCCACTTTGACTACTGACAAGAAGGGCAGTGAGCAGCACAGCAGTGCCATCACCAAATCTCACTCCACATCTCCTGGGACTAGCAGTCAGAAGCAGCAGTGCCTTGGATCTCACACTGCAGATATACAGCTATGAGGTTGAAGGCACAGGGATGCCTAGGCACCCTTCCATACCAGCAAGGGCACTGTTATTTTCCAGGAAGAGTTCATGACAAAAGGTACACATTTCAGAGTACTGCTTGCACACAATTTACATTTCTAGATGTTCCCTATAATAAGGCCAATGTTTATTTTTAGAGTTCAGATTCATTTTAAAGTGGAATTTTAGCTTCTGCAACCTGTGCAAACATAAGCAGTACCAAAAAAAATCAATCCATTCTGCTGCTGTCACCCTTCTTCTGGATTTAATGACTGCCAGTGTCATCCATCCACTTCCTGTGATCCCAGGCTGTCATAGACACTCCCCTAAGGGGAGTGTCATCAGGGCCAGATTTACTCTCTCTGCTGCCCCAATGCCAGACTCCTCAATGCGCCTCCATGTATGCAGGCTGCATACAAGTGATCTCGGCGACATTACCCAAAGCAGGGCTTAATGTAGATAACAACTACCCACCCAGGCACCTGGAACTAGGTGTCGGTAGATAGGAATTCCACACCCCTGCTGCCCCTCTACTCCCTGCTGCTCCAAGGCCGGGCCTCGGTTGGCCTTGTGGGAAATCCAGTCCTGAGTGCCATTATGCCTACCTGGGCTCACAGTAAGGACTGCTAACCACCACCATCAGAACAGAAGAGGATGGACTTCATATAATGTCATATAACCAGCCAGTAGGCTTCAGGATTTAGGCCAATACCCCAACCCCTATAACACCTCTTCAATTCCATATTTCAAACACTGGAGCCTGTAGGTGGAAAAACTTTGGCATGCAAAGCAATACTTCTCTTCTAGTATCACTGCATTTACACAGAACATTTCCTGACTTTACAAAACCCAACCTGACATAGAAGATTGTGTCAATCTGTAAATATCAGCTTATATTAGATGATGTAAAAACATGTACATACGGCCAATAAGTTGCTAGAAACAAGGCACCTCTCTACCTTGGTGCCTATAGGCACAGGTCTGCTGTGCCTAATGGTGAATCTGTCCCTGCTCCCCCTTCATGTACACATTACTTATCCAGTGCTAGGTCCCCTTTAACAGGGGTTGACTTTTCATTTAAAATGGATAACTCCTTTAAGTTTTCAGTGATGTTTCTCAGTAGACCCAGATGTCTCTGCAATCCTCAGGAAGTGAAGTACGCCAACAGAAAATGTCTTCCCCTGCTACTTTAACAGCTTGCAGATATTCCGCCTAGTTTGATTATGTTTATTTTAGGCTGGAGTTTTATTCCAGCCCGGTAGTCACGGAAAGGGTTATTCAGCGTGGGATATATCTGTCTCAGGACCGCATTCTTTGATTCCCCAGATTAATATAAGGTTTCATTCCAGCTGTCGCAGGGGATTTAAGTGTTTGTTGCAGCACAGGGGCTGCAGATGTTCTCATCCACTTGACATGTTCTGGTTTTAATTGCTGGAGAGAGAGAGAGAGAGCTCTACGATGGCTTGCGGAGTTCCCAGCCTGTTACGGCTCCACCGCTGCAAAGCGCTCACGAGAAGCACTAATGAGGCTTCTGCCATCAGACAAGCTGATCTGAGATATGTGATGCTCATTCACCGTATCCACCCTGCGCACAGGTATCAGAAAAAAAGAAGAGCAGCAAAAACAACATACGAGGCAGATTATGAAGATTAAAGCAGAACTCCAGGCAAATGCATAATGAATTGTGTGCATAAACACTCAATTATTGTTCAGTATGTTTGGCACCGTGCCTCACTTTGGACAGTTTTCTAAAGCTTTTTTTGTTTGTCAATCTGTTGCAATGTTTCTTACTTCGATATATCCGCCAGTAACAACACTTCCTGTTGCAGGTTGACAGAGCTAACCCATTGCCTCACAATAAGCAGCAGCATTGCCAGCCTGCTGTGCAAGCTCCTTCAGTTGGCTTTTAGGCCACCTATCAGCTGCACAGCAGGCTGACAATGCGGCTGGTTATTTTGAGGTGGTGGTTTAGCGTTGCCTATTGCCTATTGTCACAGGCAGGCAGGGCTAGATGTGCCTAGCAGCGAGTGCTTTAAGGGTAATCTATGGTTTTGTGTCCATGGGCTTTTATTTGGTTCAAATGGGTTTTGCATCCCCATACAAGTTTGTGGATGCAAAACCCACTTGAAGCAGGTCAGAAGTCAACTGATGGTCCAATAAACTTGTTAATGAATTTTGAATGATCTCTGAATGATCTCTGAAGTGTCTCAAACTGATGTCAAACTGATTCCATTAACAAAAGGTTCAAAGTCTATGGATATAATACAGGCCCTAAGGCACCAGATTTGTGACGGGTTGGACACTATATCTCCCAAGCTCTTGGTGCTCATTCTTTAGGAAGCTTCATTCTCGTCGCATGATGGGTGGGGGTCATTGTCCTCTTCTTCCCTCTGGCTGGCCAGGCCTTACTCCTGCACATCACTGCACATCACTGTTCTCATAAAATCATTATGCAGCAGTATTGTGAGCCCAGGTTGGCAAGATTTTCAGTCAGTGTGTTAACTGATCTTGGCTGTCATTAAAGGTTTGAGTAGTTTAGGAAAATACTACTGGGCAGGGCTGATACCACTCGGTCCACAACAGGAATTAGGAATTGTGTACATCTCTGGCACATCAATGGGTATTTTTCTGAACTTGCATGATCTTTAAAGGCATAAAACATGGGGAAATGTACATGTATTGCAAAGATGTACTACCTATAAATATTTTTTGGTCTGACGTACTTTCATTTGAAATTTCTGACCCAATCTTAAGATGGGCTTTTAAAACTACAGAATAGGCTTGGTGCTGTTAACAGAGGGAGCAGGCAGATGGAGAAACGGGGTAATGAAAGGTGAAAAGAGACAGCAAGGACAGCAGCACTTGGCACGACATACTACTAATGCCCTGCAGGTTTATGAAGGAGTTTCTGTCCACTTAGCAGTATGCACAAATATAGAGCAGCAAGGATAAGCATGAAAAGGGAAATCAAATCGCTTGTATCAAGCAGGGTCACTGTAAAAATTAGAGTCCGTCAGTGAATGGCTTTGGGTACATGTGCTTTGTGACAAAAAAATTAAAACATAGTACATCTATGCTCACACAGTTATCTATTTGAAGGACCAGTTTGCAGACCAGTGCTTAGCCCCCCCTTGCCCTCCCATTCCCTGGCTACTATATAGATCAAATATATAATTGCCACAGGGTGACTCCCTTGTGCTAGTCTCCCACATTTTAATTCAGCCATACATTAGCTAGTGTTAGCCATAGATTTTGTGACATTGCTATACTACTACATGTCAGTCCAGCAATTAATCATTACAGAGGCCACAATGGAGGATGATGTTTATGGGAAGTCATTATGTGAAGGAATAACAGATGGTGTGTATGGAGTGAGAAATTAAAACTTAATGTACATACCACTGAATTTCGTTTCAATGAAGAGAGATATATTAGTTATAGGTGGAGCATACGGGCATGAGGCAGCCCCTATCCTAATACATGTCTACAATACTCCACCAATGAGATCTCCTTGCTATAATTTTTTAGTTTTGGGCTTTCCGACCTACCTTTGTGTCTTCCAGCTTAGAAAATCCACAATAAAAAAAAAAACATTCAGCGAGGAGAGCGGTAAACCCTTCTAATGGTCACAGCAGGTGCCGAATCTGTCAAACAATATCTCCCTTGCAACTGTGGCATCCTGATCAGGTGACTGTTCAGGTGGCTATAGTGAAAGCAGATCCTTCCACTTAGCAGTCGGTTTGGTAAATATTATGCGTTAAAGTGCAACTTGCACTGAAATAGCAAGGAGGCCCCATTACTTAGTGTGGGTGACCCCCCCCCCCCCGCTAAAACATTGCAATGAATTGAAGAATTAAAAAAAAAACCTGGGGGAGGGAGAAATTAATATACTCACCTTTCCCCTGCTTCCGTCTGAGATGTTTTTACTATGACAAGCCGATGTACACCCTGAACCTGTCAGAACTTTCCCTAAGGTACCACTGGATGAGAGCCCTCCAAAGTCTGTTATCAGACTGGTGTCAGGCTAATATTGCAGCATTCACAGCTCACACTGCTTAATATACAGAATCTGTAAGAACTGACCTGTGATTAAACTGGAGATAATTAAAGGAAGGATCAACATCTTCAGCATCCTCATGAGAATGTCTCCTGGAAAGCCTATCACCATGACAATATCGGGGTGGATGGGAGAGGCCAGCCGAAGAAGACCACCAAGTACTGCTCCCATAATAACACCTGCAAAACAAAAAAAGGGAGGGATAGGCATTAGAAAAGTGTCTGGGCAATGACAGGCAGCATGAAATGCTGGGAAACCTCATAAACAGCCCCTCTATGTAATCCATAACAGACTAACCTGCTACTATGTGTATATGCATGATAAACATTCTGTAGCACCACCATGATATCTCAGGTTACCATGTTATCTCCAGGTTACCATGTTATCTCCAGGTTACCATCACTGGGTTGAATCCTGGCACCCGACCTCCTTCTAAAGAAGCCTGTTACAGTATGTGACCCTTACAGGATTAGGCATGCAGATAGTAAAGCTGGTATCTACAAACTTGTCATGGGTCAAATGACTGTATTAACCCTTTCCCAACACAATTTTTCCCCATACATTATTATTACATGTATTTATATAGCTCCAACAATTTGCAGCACTTTGCATAGTTGTACATTTACATCAGCCCCTGCCCTCAAGGATCTTGCAATCTAATGTCACTATCTCACATACATACAAGGGCCAATTTGTACAGGAGCTGAAAAACTACCAACATGTCTTTGGAGTGTGGAAGGAAACCCCACGCAAGCACAGGGAGAACATGCAAATTCCTTGCAGGTAGTGACCTGATTGTGATTCAAACCAGTGACCCCAAGTGCTGCAAGGCAGAAATACTAACCTCTACACTACTGTGCCACCCATGTTGAAATGTACACTTTAGGCCTGAAGATTACCAAAACACAATAAAATACCCAATTCTGGGGTAAAATATAAAAGGTTGCATTGAAATCTGGTACCAAAACGTTGGTGGCGATTTAAAAGCCTTCACAGCTTATCTGTAAGAGTAAATGGTAAATGATGGCCCTAAAATGATTAAAGGTGATACGGTGGCTATATTATGTCTATGGAAAAGCCAACAGCTCACTGTAAAATTGTAGACAAATTCCTGGCTGCTGTAGCAGTCAGGGGTTTGTTTACACTCTGGCGCTGCCGCCAATGCAATATTTATGTGGGTGGCAGGAAAAGGGTTAGCATAACAGCCGGGTAACTAGCATTTTCAGAAGGAGATGAGCAATGGTAGCCTCCATGTGTCTCACATGATAGGCTTCTTGCTTAACTTTGAGCCTCTGGTGCCAAAATGTATCCTTTATGAACTTCAGGCAGGTATGAAGTGGATCAGTGGGGACCATCGGGGATCAGTCCCGTGAACAGGAAGCTGTGTCTCATGCCATTTATCTGCACTACTCTGTATATGAGCGGGGGAGGGGCAGGAAGAAGAGATGGGGATAAATATCAACCCAGCCTAAGGATGTCAATGCCAGCAGCAATTCACCTCAATTCATTTCCACAACATAAATCACTGTGCTGCTTGCTTTCACTTGTCTTCATAATCAAATTTAGATTTTCAAAGTAATTTGACAACAATAACATTTGATGCCACAATCTTTTCGATTCGTGTACTAGAGAGATCTATACACTAGCCTTACTCCTGACCCCTGCACTCCGTGTCACTTACTCCTGACCCCTGCACTCCGTGTCACTTACTCCTGACCTCTGCACTCTGTGATACTTAAAACTTGACCACTGCACTGTGTGTTACTTACTCTTAACCCCTGCACTCTGTGTTACTTACTCCTGACTCCTGCACTCTGCATTACTTTCGACTGACCCCTGCACTCTGCATTACTTACTCATGACCCCTGAACTCTGTGTTACTACTGACCCCTGCAAGGTGATTTACATACCAGTGATCTCTGCATTTCTGGAAACCTTCCTAGCTTTTAATGTGTTTAAATTTATTCCATGTTGTTCAAGTAGCTCTCCACCATTTTAAGGTTCTCTGCCTCAGATTAGATAGTAAAAGGAGAAATAACAGACAGATGAGCTCAGGCAACAGACAGTTAAAAAAAAACTGACAGGGGAAATAACCATTTATTTATTTTGAAAACATAAAAAAAATGTTTTTGGTATAGAAGCACTTTACCCTGAACCTGTGCCCAATCTTCAGCACAGTGGTGTAGTGGTTAGCACTTCTGCCTTGCAACACTGGGGGTCCCACGTTCAAATCCCGTCCAGGTCACTATCTGCAAGGAGTTTGCATGTTCTCCCTGTGCTTGTGTGGGTTTCCTCTGGGTACCCTGGTTTCCTCCCACCCTCCAAAGACATGCTGGTAGGGTAATTGGCTCCTCTCTAAGGTGACCCTCTATGTGAGATAGGGACCTTAGATTGTAAGTTCCATGAGTGTAGGGACTGATGTGAATGTGCAACTATGTAAAGTGCTGCATAAATTGTTGGCGCTATATAAATAGCTGTAATAAATATGCACATTAAAGTATTTACATATTCTAAACAAACAGCAAAAAGATTATAATATAGTCCCTGACTAACCTCTGAGGCTGCAGGCAATGAGGAGAAATTAATCTTCAAAATTCACAACAGAGGCCCTGAAATCACATCTCCTCTCCCCTTATTTTCTATGGGAGCAAAATCTTGGCAGCCTGTTTGTAAACAAACAGCAGACACTGTAAGCTGTTAGAGATCTTTATAGGTGAATTACTCCACAGTAACTTAAGCTACAGAGGTCAGTGAGGTCTTGTTTTGAAGTTCTTTTACTGCCTGTAAAGAATATGTAAATACTTTAATATCCATTGACAGGGCACCTGTGCACTTTAAGCAAATACCACTATGCTTCTGCATTAGCGCAGGAAGTACTTAAATACACTTTTACTGTTTGTAACCATCCTCAAAATAATGCATTGCGCTGTAGTCCGGCTGCACAATCAATTATGAACATTCCACAGTTCCTTCAATCGTTTAGCATGCTTGGTAACGTCAATAGGCTGGAATATATAACATGAGAACATCTTGCTTTAATTATCCATCCACTATTACTTCTGCTAATGAGGGTTTCCAGCCAAAAACACGTTTCTAAATTACTCATTAACTAAGGAAAATATATTTGAAAGCCATTAGCAAAGCCTTGCTACTTTGAACACACAACAATGGAATCCTAAGAGACCACCCTATGCTGTTCTTACTGATCAGTGTCTTAAAGGAAGCTGGCTTTTTGCCTCTGGTAACCAATAACATTTTTCTTTTCATTTTTAAGCCTGGAAAAACAAGAGACTGGAACCTGATTATTTGCTATGGGGTACATAGGTCTGTCCAGTTTTACAATGAGACCCAGAATTCAAAGCTATATGCAAGGGTGTCTACGTCACATCTCACCACTTCAGGTCCCTGTTTTGTACTTTTCATAGTTACATGGATACGTAGTACTTGAGCTTGAATAAAGACACAGGTCCATCGACTTCACGAGTCCCTGTGTAATCTAGTTTTTAAGAGTACCTGTACCCCTGTATATTACGGTCTCGTAGGACAGTATCTAATTTAATTTTTGAATGATTCAATACTCTCAGCTAATACCACTGCTTGTGGCAGAGAGATCCAAAATGTAACCGCTCTGACTGAAAAGAAGCCACTCTGCCCTTTGTGGTTAAATCTTTTCTCCACCAATTTTAGGTGGTGGCCACTGGTCCTTGTTATGGAGTTTACTGTAAAGAGTTTATTGCTGATGTTGCCATCACCACTAAATATTTTGTACATCAAAATCATGTCCCCTCTTAATCTCCTCACTTCCAGCGTGAACAAGTTTAAATTTGGTAACCTTGTCTCATAGCTTTGGTCCTCCAGCCCCTTAATTAGCTTCGGTGCCTTTCTCTGGACTCTCTCCAGCTCCAGGACATAATTTCTGTGGATTGCTGACCAAAACTGAACAGCATACTCAAGATGAGGCCATACCAGCAATCTATAAAGTGGCAAAATTATCGCTTTGTCTCTACATGACAAGGGTATTTTCAGCGGGACCCCTTACTACTGCGACCTCCCCCACCACCATTCTACTCAAATAAGGCACTCCAGACTTGTATGAATTTACAAAGGCCACAGCAGCCACTTGTATCTTTAATAACTATATAAAAAATAAATACAAAATTGAATAGAAAAATAACTCCAATATATACTCATAACCAATTAACACAATTATGCAGTTTAACCCAGGTTTCCGAATCCCTGAAGGCGCTTCAAATAACCAAAATGCCATCTCATACCTGTATCTGTGGCTTCAGATAATACTAATAGGGCCCCCAAACCACCGCCTCGGGGACCAATATCTGTTAAACCGTAGACACTTCACCGGCCAAAACTAAGTGGTCAAACCAACTGACCACCACTTAAAGGACACCACACCTATGATGGTTCACCAATCCTTGTCAATAAACCCACGGCATCCCTAACGCCTTCAAGGACCCCAAACCGCCACCAGACTGCCATGACAAGATGAACCCCCAACCTCACTTAAACAGCACAAAGCAAAGCAATACAAAAGAGAACAAACAAAAACAAAACCTCCGTCAGGGCGGACGGGCGGGAAATTCCTCGTCTGCTCCCGGTGTCTTCTCCTCTAGAATGATCCTAGGATCCACGTGCAGACCTCCTTCCGGAAATCCCACCCCCTGTGGTCCTCCTTCAAACTGGTAAGCCACCCCTTCTCCCTGTTTCCCTGTATTTTAAACCTTTATCCCCTGGCTCCCCTTCTCCCCCTGTCATGTTGACCTTCCGCCCAATTCTCTCCTTTCCTTGCGCTCCATGTCTCTCTGTACATGCCCTTTTTAATACAAGACAGTACTCTGCTCGCTTTGTTTGCCACACCCTGGCATTGCAAACTATTATTCAATATGTGGTCTACTATGACCCCCGAATCTTTTTCCATCCCCTCCCCTATTTTATTCAGGTTCTCCTGTAATGTTATAGTGTCCAAGTCCGTGTCTATTACCCTCCCAATTTTAGTGTTGTCTGCAAACACAGCAACCTGGCTATTAACACCTTCTCCGATATCATTAATAAACAGGTTAAACAGTATGGGGCCTAGCAGGGAACCCTGTGGCACGCCACTCCCGTCCTTAGACCAATCTGAAAAAGTACCATTTATCAATACTCTCTGGACACGTTCCTGTAGCCAGTTCTCTATCTATGTGCACACCATTTCATCTATGCCCATAGATGTCAGCTTGTGTATTAAGGCCGTGACACACTACACGCGAAGCAGCGCGGAGCGGGGGCGCGCTGCCTTTGCGAGCAGTGTGTCATGTATTTTTCTGCTCGGCACCTCGGAGCTGAGCGTGCCGAGATGAACAGTTTCAACTTCAGCCAATCGGCTCGCGCGTATAAACCAGCGCGTCCTGATGCGACAGCTGGCAGGTTGTTACGGACGAGCTGATTGGCTGAAGGTGCTGTCAATCATCTGACTGCACTCAGCTCACACACTGCACGCAAAGCTCCGTGCCGGAATGCTTTGCTTCGCTCTGCACGGCTTCGCGTGCAGTGTGTCACGGCCTTTAAGCGTTTCTGTGGTACCGTGTCAAAAGCATTGGCAAAATCCAGATACAAGTTGTCTGCAGCGACTATCACCTATTATCGCTCTACAACCTCCATGCTGATCTCTAATACAATTTTTACATCTCTTTTATTCTATATCTGTACCATTGTATCAGGAGGGGATATTAGGCAGCAAGAACACACATTTGGACGCAGGTTATAACAGTGTTGACAGCAGTAGACCTCAAGTATCAACAAGCCAGTCTGCGATGGTGGAAAATTCACCAAAGTAAAATAACTGCAGGAGGTCCTTGGAGACCCAGTCTCTGAGGTAGACAGGTCAAAACAGAAAAACAGATGGGTATTCTGGTCCATTACCGCTACTTCACCTGCTGTGACTGACAGGTTCTATTGGCCTGTACTGACAATGAATGGCTCACACTCTAGGAGGCACACCCCGCAGTGGTCTACCCTGTAGGATGGGACTCATTGGCCTTCACCATCTGCAGCGCTGGAGCCTCCTGTCCTGTTTTGCCAATCACACGTCATTAATGCTGTTCTGTATCCTAGTGAACATGGTCTTCTGCTCTTCCATCCAACCATCGCACTCTTGGTGACACTGTACATGTATAATCTTGCACACAACACACCAAGGTGACCCTTCCCTCACACCTCCTTGGACAGTCCCATCCTCCTCCAGATGTTGCACAGGGTCGTTAACCAATAGTTAGGCAATAGGCATAAGAAGTGTGTGGAGGAGGTATAGGTCAGCCATTGACTTTGCCTCTAAAAGTCAGTATTTGCATATCAAAGTTACACAGAAGCCCTGAAGCTGCCAGATATGTATAAGTATTTAAACCTTAACAATAGACTTCTCTACTTTGCTACTATCTAAATCCAAGAGCAAAAATGTAATATATTGCAGTTTAACATTCCTTAGATATGGTAGCTGCATTAGATTTCTTTTTTCAGGCCCTGTTTCTCCTATTTTCACCTGGTGACCCTGTCAGTAACACACATTCTGCCGTAGGGTGACAACACTCACTCACTATACTGTATCTATGGCAGACCAGCATTGTCATCCAAAGAGAGGACTACAAAACGCCTCCTATTCCCCATAATATGGGGGAAAAGGTCATTTTCAGCAGTGAACAGGACAGGGCTGATAACACTGCTTGAGATAAGATCGCAGAGTACACAGAGCACAGGACAGCACTGTATTTCTGGCAGGATCAAGAACTATTTTGCCCAACAAATTAAACTTCAAAATACTAACAACAGCAGATAAAGCCATCCACAACTCTGCCCCGACTATATCTCCAAATATCACCCAAACTGTCCTCTATGCTCCTCTCAAGACCTCCTGCTCTCCAGCTCTCGTCACCTCCTCTCATGCTCACCTCCAAGACATCTCCAGAGTGTCTCCCATCCTCTGGAACTCCTTACCCCAATCTGTCCGCTTATCTCCCTCGCTGTCCACCTTTAGGCAATGCTTGAAAACTTATCTCTTCAGGGAAGTCTATCCCACCTCAACATAACTGTCCTTTTACTTCTTCCACTAACTCAACCTAAACAATTATTACCTTTGTATCACTTGCCCCTCTTGATAGATTGTAAGCTCTCAGCAGCAGGGTCCTCCTAACCATCTTGTACTGAATTTATATTGTAACTGTACTGTCGCCCCCATTTTGTAAAGCGCTGTGCAAACTGTTGGCGCTATATAAATCCTGTATAATAATAATATTTTTCTGCACTTATTGAGCAAATAGAACAAAATGCTTTAACAAACCAAATAAGAGAAGTCCATTCTTTTAATGGTATTGATTGCTTTCAATGGTATATTTACCAGAGCAAATAAAGTAAGTTTATAGTTAGCGTTTACATAAACTTGAAATGCATCAACGTGCTCTAAATGCAAAGCACGTGATGTGAATCCAAACATGATCAGTGGCCAAAGATCAGTAAGCATATTGAAATCTATGACTCACCAAATACTGTAAGGGTCAACAGGAGGTTGCTCCGAAGCTTGTCACACATCCTCAGACATGGTGATCTGGGGCGCACTTCATCTGAGGTCAGCTGACTATCGTGCATGCGCACTTCCACCTGTTTCGGGGTGTTGTTGGCACTGAAAGATACAAATTTGCAGAAAACAGTTACAAAAGAACTCCACTGAGAACACCTTATTTTCAAGTTGATCACATGACATAATCCCTCCGAAAAGAACCCAGAAACACAATAACCGATTGTGTGAATGAATGCTTACTGTTGATGGGGACCTCTTGTCTTCTGGACTGGCCATAGACAGATAAATGCCTCCACATCAACTATGGGCGGAGAGACATTTGTCAATCCTTGTAGTTGTCACTCTCTTTCTCTCCTTTTATTGAGAAAAGAGAAGGCTGGTCACTCAAACAAAGCTGGGAAATATCTGTAAGCGATAATGAGCACTTCTGCCAGAAAATATCATTATCACTCCTGGGGGTGTCTGGTGACCTGATTCTGAGTTTCACATAGAGTTGGATTGTATCAATAAAGCCAACCTAAAGCTGGTCACACGTGTTGGAATTTGTTGATGATCCATTTGGTGGAGGTGGGCCCAGACACCCACAACATGGCTCTCAAAGGCCACTAATGATGTTAAAGCAGGGTGGTCATTCTGGAAGCATTTAAGAGGAGCTATCCCATCTGTCAACAGAATAATAAAGAGTTATATCTTAACTAGGGATGGGCACATCTGCCTGAGATCCATTTGCCAAGGCTTTGACAAATCCTGCCTACAGCATACCAGAAATTAGTGGTGAATTCCATTGAATTCTATGGGGATTGGGGGCAATCCCATGATAAAATTCTTGCCATTTTCAGGACTAATAAGAAAACTTTTGTCCAAAAAAAGGCATGGGAAGCTGGGCACTGCCATGGAGGACATTTACCAATGCAAATCATTTTTTTGGGAAAAACCATGCAACGGGGAGAGGACCTTTTCATGTGGCTTTGAGGGTACATGGTTAAATCATGCACAGCTTTAAAGCATTTCCACATAAAAAAAGTGTATTGACTGTCCCAATGGGATTAAAGATGCACCTCGATTGTTTTTGTATAATTTTGATTTTGTTTGCATGTTCTAAGTGAAATAACTCATAATAGGATTGTATGATGAGAAAGTTCTTTTTTTTTTAAACTTGGTTTTTGTATACAGTAAACTCCCTGTTATCCGGCATCCAGGGGCATTGGTAAATTCCGAATAAATGTAGTTCCTGGTTGCTTGAGAGTTACTAATAAAAATAGGTCTAACTAATGCCATAACCCATACTATACCATAATATAAACTCTGTATTGACTTCATATTAATATTGAAATGCAGTAATCAAAAGCAAGACAAATAGACACATGATCGTTTCCAGGATAATACGTGCCACAGATCAGTAGAACAGCAAGTACACACAGCAGTGTAAAACTGGTCCGCAGCAAGACACTTTTCATCAGGGATAATAGGCCTAACTGGTGTATAACTAACTTTTATTTTATCTATGAGGATAGGGGGAAGTGGTGAATGTAAATGATATAATGTGAGGTGGTTTAGGTTCACACTGTTTTTGCACCTTTTTTTTCTTTAAAACAATGAATCAGCATTCTGCAAAAAAAAGGCAGCTCTAAGAACAGATAGTTAGTAACAAGTAAATCCTGCACTTTGAGTTCCCCAAAGTTAGAACTGGCCCTATCAACATAGAATAAAAATGAAAAAAAGCACTCCAAAGAAATGAAAATATTGCCCTGTAACTGTTTAGCTTAGAAAAAGCCCTATCTACAATGAAAACCAATATACCCCCCACAATTTTATATCCACATATAGAACCAGAACTAAATAACAAATATGTGCTACAAATAATAAATTCAATGTTGCAAAGTCCACAATCTTAATGTGCAACTGTGTTTCATGCACCATGCAAAAAAAAAATCCTTGGCAATGGATCCACCACCTTTAAACAGGATAATTATCCACAACACGGCATGTGTTCTGAAGTCCACATCAAATGTGTTCCAATTATGTTATCCATCTGAACCACCTTCAGAAAGGCTCACTCACCAGACGGGATGGACCTCAAATTATAAAGGTCAAATGGAAATTTTCACCTATATCTCCAGATCTCTTATTGGAGTAAAAAAAGCAACCAAATAGGAACACCTAATTTTTACACGGTAAATGCCCTTTCCATCACTCCAACTCCATCTTCTTATTCTCTTATCCTTAATAGGAAGGATATAAATATCAGATACCATCTGATGGTGTAATACCGCTTTTTAAAAAATAACTGGATAAAAAAACATATTTAGTTATTTATTTATTACATGTATTTATAAAGTGCTGACAATTTAGGCAGAGCTGTACATACTTACTTCACATCAGTCCCAGCCCCCAAGGTGCTTACAATCTAAGGTTGCTATCTCAGATGCATACATACTGTACAACTGCCAATTTAGACAGGAGCCAATTAACCTTCCAGCATGTCTTTGGAGTGTGGGAGGAAACCAGAATACCCGGAGGAAACCCACGCAAGCACAAGGAGAACATGCATATAGTTGTACTTATATTATATAATATATTATGATAAACAGAGTGTAGAAAAAACTGTTATCCGTATAAAGTCCCACCACAAAAACGAAAGCTCCAGCAGCCTTGACTTCTATTAGAGGTAAATCCCGGGTTGGTCCTTACACTTAGGGTAAACCATCACAATGACATCACCTGCTAAACCTTGTGGCCATTTGTCCATATTTGGTCAGTGTCATCAACCAAATATGGCTATAAGGCCATTTAAGGTCAATGATATCACCAACATCCCGCCCCTGTGTTTTTGTGCTGCTTCGGGGGAGGAAATGGCCTGGCTGCATCTGATTGGGCATGCACTGACTCCTAACTTTTGGGTTGGGATGAGCTCGGGGTCAAACCCAAGCTCATCACTATTGGTCTGTTAACTTACACAATTTACTAATCAGGTGTGGTAACATATTGATACCAAGTGTATTTAATCGATTAAAGCAATGGGAATTTCGGAGTGAGTGAGCTTATAGAAATCACTGCCATGGTATTGGAATTCTGTATAGAAGAAGTCAAAACCCATTATTTTCCATTAAAGCTATAACTGTATGAGCTTGAATATGAAAAGTGATTTATATACTGTAGACATGTGCACTGCCAAAAAATTTGTTTAGTTTCGTTTCGTTTTAAATTCGGATTTGTGTTATTTCGTTTTTCGGGATTCGGGTGTGAAAGTCAATTCGGATTCGGAATTCGGATTCGGATGAAATTCGGTAGCGGTAGTTCGAACGTTCGTTTCGTTTTCGGTTCTTATTCGTTTCGTTCGTTCGTTTGCAGCAAAGTGACATTTTTCTCCTTCTCTAATGTCACTTTGCTTCAACGAACGAAACGAATAAGAAACGAAAACGAAACGAACGTTCGAACTACCGCTACCGAATTTCGTAAATGGAAATTCGGATTCGTTTGCATTCGTTATGTCTGTAATTCGGAATTCGGATACATCCGAATGTCCGAATTTCCGAAAATTCGTCCGAATTTCAATTCGGAACGAAACGAATCGCACATGTCTAATATACTGTTTCATGATCAATTACAACACTGTTTTCTAGCATTTCATGTAATATATGCTTGATACTTGATACGTAATATATACTAGTATTTCTAAAGTTTGTTTTTTAGGCAAGTATGTGAATGTCCTTAGCTCAAAGCAGAACTCTAGCTTATCTCCTCCCCTTTACCTCAGTGAAGTCTATACAGATGTATATGTATCTTACAACGTTGCACTATGGTCACAAAATCTTTCATTTAAACATGTTCCTCAATTGCCACAAATGAAAAAAACAGTAGACCCCACTCACTACACACTGCCTGCAAAAACTACAGGAGGGGGCAAGACCAGTCACCCTACACAAGGAGAGAGACTCCAAGCAGGAAGCTCCAAGTTTCTGCACAGAATTGGAAGAAATACACAACGCTCACCAAAATTCAAGTAACAATATTCATGACTCTTGTATGAGAACAATATTTGCATATCTCAGTTCAGCTTTGATCATGTCAAATCTTCTGGTCGGTCCAGTGACAAGTCGCAGGTCCTCAATCATTTCCTCTGGCAGTAGTGTGCAGAAGTTACTTCTGGACTGAGCAGTGCTCATGAAATGATCTGTGAGCCCCTCCAGCCCAGGGATTTTGGGAGCACAGGCTACATGATGATGTCCCCCCAAGGGGGCAGGTCCATGACAGCCTGGGCTCACAGGAAGTATGTTGGATGACACTGGGTGTCATTCAGCCCTGAAGAGGACTGAGGGCTGCCTGCAGAGGAGGACACAGAGGATATACTAGATCATGGAGTGGTTCTTTTGAACTCTTCCACACGCTGTCCAAATTCAAAAAGAAAATGGCTCTAGATATCCTGTAACCACTGGTGGAATTCTTCCACACCTACCAGGGCTGTCTGGTTTAGTTTTCCTGTAATGCTGAGAGAATTATTGAGGATTACTCAAGGAAATCCATTTTATAAATATTGTTGGTTTCTGTGAAATTTCCATTAATGGGTTGTGGCTTATTGTAATCTGTGTAACATCTGCCTGCTTCTTCCTATAATGGTGGGTTATGCTATCTCCTGCAGACCAGCGGACAGCTCCCGGATAAACGCAGATCTCCCTCTACACAAACACTCTCTTCCAGTCTAGGACGGCGTAACGAATCTCACAAATTCATCCGCTGAAAACCTCAATGCATTTGAGACTGCCGTGGTTTACACTAATCAGAGCGGGAACGCAGATGAACTGGAAGCTCAAAGGAGCGGACGCTTGCCAATAAACAACAGTTTGAGTTATTTTGCTTAATTTAATTTGCAAGCTGCGAACATCTGCTGTGCAGTTTAGCGATTACCATAGCAACGGAAAGAAAAAAATTACAAAAAGACAATTATAGCTTCTGTCAGTTGTGTTATTTATAGGGAGAGGTGATATGGTGTGACGCAGTAGGGACTGTTAGCTCTTCCGCCGACCTGTAAGAGGTGGTAGATTGGGCTAATTCGGGAAAGTGTCTGGCCTGGCAGAGCTTGTTGTGGGAGTCGGCATATGGAA